AAGACGAGGCAATGGAGTGCGGGAGTCCTGCAGCCAGGATGAAGCAGAAGGAGGCGTAGGTGGTCGTAACCAATCCGCAGCACTGCTTGTTGCTCCCGCCGCGCCAGAGGCTGCGGCTCTATCCTGCGCCTGAACTCCTTGTGGCACTACCGCACCCGCGGATTCAACCGATGCAAGACGTTGCTGATAAGCGTTGTCCGCGGCCTGGATGATCTCAAAGGCCTCTTGGTCGAAATTCCACAAGCGCCAACTATCCAATGTTTCACGCCAGGAAAAGAGGGCCTCAATCTGTTGCTTTGAAGCCTCTGTAAACCTGACCCACCGGAAGCGTCGATCCTGCTTTTTGTATTCGTCGACGATGATCTGCTGGAGGGTGTTGAACAGACGGGCACGCGGCCCTTTCCCACCGCGAACGCCGCGGTGAGGGCCGACTTCCATGTGCGACCAAACGGTCGCAGTCACGGAAGGGTTTGTTTACCCGAAAAGCGTTACGGCTGATAACCACAAAGGAGAGGGAAACACAGTTTTCTCAACAACGGGGGAACCCGGGACCTTAAAAGGAACGAACCCCGCCGTGACTGCGACCTCTCCCTTAACTTGTGGGCAGCGCGTGCAACGCGCTCTTTTCCTTGAGCCAAAGCAATGACATGCGGACATGCCATTGGTCTTGTACCTTGCAACATGAGTGCCTACCTCATGAACCTCTGGGCCATAAATGTCATCGTGATAATTGACTTACATGCATACATTACATTCATTCATACATACATACATACATACATACATACATACATACATACATACATACATACATACATACATTCTTACATACATACATACATACATACATACATACATACATACATACATACATACATACATACATACATACATACATACATACATACATACATACATACATACATACATACATACATACATACATACATACATACATACATACATACATACATACATACATACATACATACATACATACATACATACATACATACATGACATACATACATTACATACATACATACATACATACATACATACATACATTCATTACATAAATTACATACATACATACATACATACATACATACATACATACATACATACATACATACATACATACATACATACATACATACATACATTACAGACATACATTACATACATACATACATACATACATACATACATACATACATACATACATACATTACATACATACATACATACATACATACATACATACATACATACATACATACATACAGTACATACATTACATACATACATACATACATACATACATACATACATACATACATACATACATACATACATACATACATACATACATACATACATACATACATACATACATACATACATACATACATACATACATACATACATACATACATTACATTAAATACATACATACATTACATACATACATACATACATACATACATACATACATACATACATACATACATACATACATACATACATACATACATACATACATACATACATACATACATACATACATACATACATACATA